CCTCCCTCCTGGACCCCTTTTCCCCACTGGGAAATAAAGGGGTTGGGCTAGTTAATCCCGAGTTTTAACCTCTTTCGGCCTCGGTTTCTTCCTCTGCAAAAAGTGGAATTAAATAGCCCTTAACCTGTCCACCTAATGTTGCACTTAATGACCTCCACGGTCCCTTCCAGCGCTGGCCTAGAAAAGACTACGATTCCCACTCTACCCTGCGGGAACCAGGCCTATCACGTGTTCTGCTCTGTTTTCCCAGCCCCAGGAGTAGGCTGGGCACTGGTTGGAGCCCCTGCCACAGATTCCAGCCTGAGCTCGGATGGCATTTGACCCCTCCCTTTTTGCGGAGGGACGAACAGGCTCCTTGGCACCCGCCCTTCCCCTCCAAGGGTCGAGGTTATATCTTCCGGTTAACTCCGCGTGGGCTGGGACCAGAGTTGCTGTCCCCGGAAACCTCGGCTGGCCCCTGGACTCGGAGGAGTCGAGCCGCTCCCGGATGCCGCCCTGTGGCCGCAGTGGAAACCGCAGCTCAGCGCCTGCTCTATTCTGCCGCCCCTTGGCAGCTCTCTGAATCCTGGTTTTCCTTTCCCTTCCCCCTCCTCCCCTCACCCTTCCGATCCCCGTCTCCTCTGGCTTAGGAGTCCCTAGATTTAAAAAGTCAAGGGTCACAGAGCTGCAAGAGCTCTAACCCTAACGATTCCAACTCTAAGCCGGGCATATATCCTCTCTAAAATGGTCAACCGTCCATCCTCTGCTAAGAGATCTCCAGTGGTGAAAAATTAATTACTTTTCAAGGCAGCCCCTTCACCTTTTGGACAGTTCTGATTGTTAGAACTGTGTTCTATATAGGCAAAAGACAGTTGATTTTATCAGCATGAGGAACTGCCATTGTAGGAACCCCTCCACCAATGCAAACTTCAAAAATCTTGGGGAGAGAGGGAAAGGAAACAAGCATTTGTCAAAGTCCCTGCTATGTGCCAGTCACTGTGCTAAGCCTTTTATTTCAAAGATCTAGAACTGGAGGTGACCTCAGAAACCATTTAGTTCAAACCAAGCGTGTTACAGCTTTGGAAACGGAAAATTAAAGAGGTCAAGGGGACTTGCCTATGGTCACACAGGCAAGTAAGCATCCGAGATGAGATTTGAACCCAAATCCTCTGACTCCAGAATCAGTGCTGCTTCTTTTGTACTAGACTGACTTAGTCAATCCAAACATTTGCCTGAGATGCCTGGAGCTTCAGTGACTTCACAGGGTCACCCAGCCTAAATCTGCCTCTCCATAACTTCTCCCCATTATTCCTGGCTCTGTCCTTTGGTTTAGGTAAGTCCCTCTTCCCAAGGACAGCCCTTCAAATATTTGAAGACACTTATCATCCCTCCCCCGTCTTCACTTTTCAGGCAGTTGTTTCAGCAGAGTCTTGGGGGGGACCAAGTCTGCTAAGTCACCATTTTGGTAGAAAGTCTTCTCGACCTTCAGTTTTTTAAAGTCCTTCCTCAAATGTGGTACAAATGATCCATTTTGAGATTTAGCATCTTGCATTTTGTAACATCTCTTGCATTGCTCAACTCTTCTGTTACCATTTAACTTTTTGTCTTGTCTTGAAAGCTAGACCAAGTACCTTGAGAATTTCTGTGGATCCCCCACAGTGTCTTATAATAGGCCAAAAACAGCAGATGTTCAATACATGTATGTTGCTAACTGATGGATATTCAGTCCAGACTGAAAGGAGGAGGGCATATAGGATAAAAGGAGGGCATTCTAAGGGGAAGGAGACAGCAAGAAGAACGATAGGGTCTCTACCTTCTTGGAGATCGATAAAATACAAAGGTTCTTAACTTTGTTTATGTCATGAGTCCCTTTGGCAACCTAGTAAAGCCTATATACTCCTTAGAATAACATTTTAAAACACATAAAATAAAATACATAGGATTACAAAGGAAATTAATTGACATGCCAGTCATAAAAAAAAAAAATTTAAGTTCACAAACCCCAGGTTAAGAACCCCTGGTAGTAGGGACCCTGAAAGATGTACTTAGCTAACTTGAATAGAGGAGACTTCCTAGCTTCCTAGGTATGCAACTGGGCAGAGTCATTTCATCTGCGCCTCACTTTCTTAATTGTAAAATGTGAGTAATAATACAGCTGCTACCTATCTCACAGAGTAGTTATGAAGATGTAAAGAGACAAGTGATCTTACATCATTCTACAAATGTTAGCTGTTATCATGATTGATAAGTGCCCTAAGAAGAGAGAAAGCCTGCCAATCTGTAGTGATTGGGGGAGGAGTGGAGCTCCAGCTGGCCTCTCCAGACATTTTATTCCATTTTCACTTCCCCTCTAGAATGTTTTATGTTCCAGTTAGACTGGCTTACTAGCTATTTAGTTTCTGACCTCAGCCTTCCATATTGTGCTTTGGAACCAGCTAAATAGTATAATGAGGCAGCTAGGTGGCACAGTGGATAGAGTGCCAGGCCTGGAGTCAGGAAGACCTGAATTCAAATTTGATCTCAGAGGTTTACTAGCTGTGTGACCCTGGGCAAGTCACTTAATCCTGTTTGCCTCAGTTTCCTCATCTCTAAAATGAGCTAGAAAAGGAAATGGCAAACCACTTGAGTATCCTTGCCAAGAAAACCCCAAATGGTGTCAGAAGTCAGATAGGACTAAACAAGTGATGTAACAGAGCCCAAGTTCAAATCTGGCCTCAGACACTTACAAGCTGTTTGGCACAGGGCAAGCCACTTTACCTTCTGTCTGCCTCAGTTTTCTCAACTGTAAAATGGAAGTGATAATAGTACCTTGGTTGGTGTGAGGATAAAATAAGACTATTTGTAAAGCACTTTGCAAACTTTAAAGTACTACTTAAATGCCAGCATTCCCTCTGCACTGTGGCACACCCTGTCTGTCTCCCATGCCTGGAATGCTCTCTCATAACCTGTGCCTTTTATAAGCCCTCCCTTTTTTCATGGCTCAGCATGGGAGCCACTCCTAAGAGACTCCATTCTGGATCCCCCTCAGTTATTCCATCATCACATTTGTTTAAACTCATTTCCTAGGAGGCACAATGGGCTTTTAGCCAGAAAGATCTTAGTTCAAATCCAGCCTCATAGACTTCCTAGCCTAGACTCTAGGCAATGCCATTAACCTTTCTTAGCCTCTGTTTCCTCATCTGCAAAATGGTGGTGTTGGGGAGGGGTCAAGGGAATCCTCTAAGCTTCTTCCCAGCTGTTGTATTCCCCTCCCTCTATAATAAGGCAGGGATTATTTTTAGCTTTTGTATCTCCACTATTTAAGGCACTGGCCTGAAATGCTTAGTATATGTTGCTGGTGGAATGAATGAATGGATTTGACATTTGAGCTAGGTCTGGAAGCATAGTTAGGATTTCAGCAGGTATAGCTAGGGCCAAGGGTAGGGAGAAGACACAGTCTGAGCAAAAAAAGATTCAGAGAAGGAAAAGGGCCATTTGTGTTTGGCATCTTCATTGAGCCAGCACTCATTAAGCACCTGGGAGGTACAAGGCTGAAAAATAACATCCCTCTCCTCACAGAATTTATGAGTATGGGGGGGGAGTTAGTATGACATATACACAAGTAATTGTTATAAAACATAGAATATAATGACAAAGGAACTATCTAGGGAAGGTACTCTAAGGAATTTGATGGGATCAAGATAACATTCAGCTGAAGGCAGAGGGTGAAATCTTCCCTGAGAAGGTGGCACTTGAGTGGAGTCTTCAAGGAAAAGAATTTCCCTGAACAGAGATGAGGGAAGTACATTAAAGGGGTGCACATTGCCCCCACAGAGGGAATATGGAGATACCAAGTAGAAATGAGGGAGCAGATTCATAGTCTGGTATGGATAAAATGGGAGTAGATGGAGGTGGGGAAGGACTGCAAAGCCTTGAATGCCACGATAAGGAGTTTGCATTTCATCCTGTATGAAGAGAGGAACCAGCTGAAGGTTTTTTGGTCAAGGGCTTGGCATGCTCCGTTCTGGACGTGAGGAAGATTTCTTATTCAGTAACAGATTGGTTAAGGGAGAAATTGCAAACATGAATACCAATTCAGAGGCGGTGTGCACAGTGCAGAGAACTTGGCTTTGAATCCTTGTGCTAACTACTTAGGACAAATCATTTAACCTCTCTGGGCCTTCTGTAAAAAAATAGGGTTCAGTAGGCTGTCTCAGTCTCCCATCAGCTCTAAATCCTATTATCCTACATTAGTAGGTGTATGTGTCTGTAGGAAGGGTGCAGTCTCCCCTCGCACCCCACTCCCTTTCAGCCTCAGTTTTCCAAGGGGAGGGGTAAGGGGAAATCCAATTGAGATCGCACTTCCTATCTTAGGCCACGCGGAGGCAGTATGAGACAAGACCTAGCCCCTCGGAGATAGGGTTGCTCCGCGCCCTGAGCATCCTAGAACACGCGGGGGCAGGGGAGTAGGGAGTAGGGATAGAACTCTGAGCGCCCGGCAGCCCAGGAAAGAAGGATGTGAACTGATCGGTCCCTTCCTCGTCCTCCCACGGCTGTGGTCCCGGGGAATAAGCCGGGCAGGAACAGCAGATAAGGGGCTGCCAGCTCCCTTCTAAGTAACAAAAACTAGATTCCGGAGGGCTCCTCCCGTTGCTTTCCCAGACCCAAGCGTTCTCCCTGCACCCTACCCCCTCTTCAGGTTTGGCCAGAATTAGACCCACCAGAATTCTTTGGTTCCCCAAAAGTTCCTTGCTTTTCTTCCCTCCCTCTCCCTAGGCAGAGTTCCACGGTTTCCCTAGGGAAGAAAGAGCCACAGACAAACAACCTTGGGGAGAAGGAGTGTTTATTGATGGCACAATGAGCAGAGAAGGTTGAGGAGGGTTCCCTCTCCCCCAGACGTGTAACAGTCAGGCGCCTGGGTACGGGCTGGTCAGATTCCCAGAGAGGATAGGGGAGGTAGGCATTCTGTCTCCCTCTTGGATGGGTTAGGGGGCCACAGCGGCATTGGGGACAGGTGGCCAATCAGGAGTCCCCAGCCCGGGTTAGTGGGGGGGGGGTGTATATAATCAATCAGAACTCCCAGTCCGGGTTAGTGGAGGAAGTGGGGGGGACTACTTAGGGCTCCCCAGTCCAGGTTGAGGGGGCAGGGACAGGTGACTAGTTACTCCTGGCTGAGGGGCTCCCCAGTGTGGATCAAGATCTTCTTCCCTCGCTTAAAGGGCCAGGCACTTCCACGGTAATTCTGAGAAGGAGGGAGAACAATAGAGGGTGAATGAATCAGAGGGCAGGAGAAACAGAACTGGGCAAAGAAGGGTTGCTAAGTCAAAAACCTGAGCTTCCATTCCAAAGCTGGAAAGAGACCTTCCAGGTCATCCAGTAGTACAACTCCTTCATTTTGCATCCTATGAAACTGAAGCACCAGAGGGGAAGTGACTTGCCCAGGGTTACACAGATAGTGAGTAGAGAGCACAATTAGCATCCAGGACCTTTGACTCCAAAACCAGTGCCTTTTCTAGAGCATCTCAGTATCTATTTTTTTTTATCTTATTTATGGAGTACAGTGGGAACAGCATTTGCTCTGATATTGGAAGAAACTGGTTTCTATTCCTGTCTTTGACACCTATTAGCTGTGTGACCTTGGACAAATCATTTAACCCTCCTTTCCTCCCCCACCCCCACCCCAACTAGGCTTCAGTTTCCTTCTCTGTAAAATGAGAGGGTTGTACTAGATGGCCTCTGAAGTCCCTTCCAGGTCTATATCTATGATCTTATTTCTCCCCCCCCCCCTTTTAAGAAGGGGAAACTGAAGCCCAAAGAAGTGTCAAAGAAAAGGGACTAGCCTTAGACCACAACGGGGATGAGTAGCAAAGACAATACTGCGACTGTCATTTCTACTCTACTGAGGTTGTCCAAATGACATACATAGCCTAGGGGAGTGAAGAGCTGGGCCTGGGGTCTCATGAATTTAGTCTCCTTCCTGGAGTGGAGTCTCTTACAGTGGAGCCTAGGGTTACTGTGGAAGGGGAGCATCTGCCTATGCGTGTCTCCAGTACTTGGAACACTCATAAATTCCTGAATGTTGAAGATATTTCTCACCTGCTCTGGGCCGTTCTCAGAGTCCCGTCGAGGGGGCCACACCACTGAAAGCTTCCCTGAGGGTGTGCTCTCTGCAAGGAAAGGAGGAAAATAAAGTAATGGGGAGCAGCATCTCTACCGTCCCACATCGGTGATTTTCCTGTTTTATGGCCCGGAAAAGTTCCACCTCTTCCACTCTACCCCACCCCCAGCCTGGTGCTCGGGGCCACAGCAGTCCACGCCCTACTAAATGTACATAGAAGCAAGAGGCCTGCTCCGGTCCTCTCCAACCCCACTCCCTTGGCACGGATTCCCAGCGCTTGGAGGTTCCCTCAGTCCCGTAAAGGGGAACGGGACGAGACGGAAGGAACCGAGGGTCCGAAGGCAGAAGCTTCAGTCTGAGACTTGCCCAGGGAGCCCCAGAACCTGGGCAGGGGAAAGACCCGGCATCTTGCCTGTGAGACTTGGGGTCGGCTCCTTGAACTCTGAGGCCCCATAGATGCTGCGCCTCTGGAGCTGCAGCTCCCGCTCCCTCTGGCGAACTTCTCGGACCTCTTGCTCCAGCAGCGACAATTGGACTCGACGGGTCGGAGCCGGGGTCGCAGCGGAGGCTGGGACCAAAGCTAGATCAGAGACCCGGGCCAGAGGTGGGACTGGGACCGGGGGGCGAGCAATTGGGGCCGATGCCGAGGCAAGAGCCGGGCTCCGAGCTCTCAAGGCAAAGACTGAAGGCGGGACCGGGGCACGTGGGACCGGAGCCGGAGCTGGAGCCAGAGGCGGAGCTGGAGCCGGGACTATGGCTAGGTCTGGCGTCCGGGCGACAACTAGAGCTTGGTTTCGGGCCGGAGCCGTTGCTAGAACTGGAGCAAAAGTAGGAGCCTGAGCTAGAAATGATGCCCGCAGCCGGCTGCGATGCTCCAGAACCACCACATGGGCGGCGCCACTGGCCTCGGTGAACGAAGGGCCCCGGCCCACAGATTCTGCCCGAGAATGCGCGCCCCCAGCCTCAAAGACCAGCTTGCGCTCGCTCAGCGGCTGCGGCCCCTGGCCGCACTCCGGGCCACCGCAGGGCCCCGAGCCCAGGCGCACCAGCGCCTCCTCCCGGTGTGCCTCCCGAACGATGTCGCGCTGCATCTGGGCGCCTGCCCGGGCGCGCTTCACGTCCCGGGGCAGCCCAGGACCTGGGCCCGGCAGCAGGCTAAGGATGGGCCGGAGGCGCAACTCCACCAGCTCCCCACCGGCGAAGCTAGGGCTTAAGCCCCGGCTCCGTCGCAGGCTTGCCTCGCGCTCCTGGCTCTGACGGATCTCCCGTTCAATTGGAGTCTCGGTGGCAGTCGTGGTGGCCGCCGCGGGGGGGCTCCATGCCTAGCTTTGCGCCCGTGGCAGCGGCCAGCCGTGGGCTCTGAGGCATTGAGGGCTACTGACCGCCGGCCCCGCCCAACTCTCCTCTCGCGTCCGCCCCTGGCCTCCGGGAACTGCCCCCCCCGCCCTGGGGGCAGGCCTGGCCCCGCCCCCTGCACCTGCCTGGACCTCGGCCCCGCCCCGCGCAGCCCCTGGTGCAGCCACAGGTGCCCTGACTGCAACCCTCTAGGCTCACCCGGGGGGGCCCAGGCACAGTGCTTAGTTCTTTGACCTGGGCTGGGACACCCTCTTTTGCCCCTGGGCCCTCATCCGAATACCGAATATTGTCTTGGTCAGTGAGACTGAGCCAGGCGTCAATCTGATTGACGCCACGCAGATTAGATTCCTTGACTCCTGTGGTCTTGGATTGGGTGAGGGGGTATTCCAGGATGACATTCTAGGATGGCCATTTTAGAATGAAAGGAGCCTTGAGAGAGTTCTCCTCAGGAAGCATCGTGGCTGATGCCCCCTGAGTTAGCGCTTGACGCCGTACCCACCGCCTCTACCCTACCCTATATGCCGCTTCTCAGCTTTGTCCCCACATTCTTGCTGTCCAGACTGTACCTCCAGGGGGCATTTGGCTCTATGTCTCCGGTCTAGAGTCAGTTGGTCCCCTAGCGTCACCTGAACCTATCCCACCATCCATGGACCCTAACTCAGCACTGAGATGGGATTTGCCTCTATCCCACCTCACTCTCCCTTGAGATACAGCCTTGCTCCTGAGGAGTGTGTCACTCGGAGGAGGCGCCCGGGGGCGCTTAAATCCCTGTCCCCCTTCTCACCCTCCGCTCTAGCCTCTGCTGGGTTCCCGCTCACAAACTAAACACTAACTAGTCTGAGGACTCTACACCGAGGTACACCCCCATCCCACAGCTTGGCAGTTTGCTGGCACTTCTCACCCCCACAGAAGAACAACTACCCCGAGGCTAGTCTGATCCTCCCATGGGGAGAATTCCTGGGCATCTACGATAGCACCGAGGCCCATATCTAAGCCAACTTCTAGTGGTTCCTCTAGACCCAGCAGCCTCTGCTCCCTCCTGCTGGAGACCAACCGGGCTTCTGGCAACTGGCATGAAATGTTCAACTTCAGTATTCCAGCTATAGAAGCTGCTGCGCCCCCTCCTCCACCGTAGTGGAAGCGCTAGAGAATGGAACATGCTCCTCTCCCCTAGAATCTGTCCTGGGGCAGGTTGGCTGTGGGAAGCTAAGTACTGTAGTCTGTGCAGGGGTGACTTTGGGCCAGTTGAGATCTAAGTGTGGAAAGAAGGGAGAAAGTGGGCCTTCTACAGGCTATTTGCACAGGATCAGGAGCCTCCTAAGGAAAAAGGAAACTGGAGTGACATGTACTGTTCTGCTTTTCTCTGCTTAGTTCTCTACAGGCACCTCTGACACACCCACTTTAGCCCATCGCTTTCTCTTTCTCTATTTGTATTTTTGTTTCTTTCTCCTCTGTCTTCCTATCTTTCTGAACCTCTATTTAAGTGATTCAGTACCCACACCTGTATCTCCGTGTTTCTTTCTTTCTGCTTTTCTCTATCTCCAATTTCAGTTCTCTTTCTGTCTCTATGTATCTCTCTGCCTCTGTGTCCCTGTCTGTTTTGTGCAGCCTTCCCTCCCAACCTGCTACTCCATTTTTTCTTATGTTTCATCTCTATCTCCTTGTATCTCTTCTGCTCTGTTTTTGTCTATTATTGCTTTTCAGGGTCCCTGGCTCTCTGTCTTTTTTATTTCTACATTTCTCATATCTTTCAATATCTCTGTCTATCTGCCTCTGAAGGAAAGCTGTGGCAAAGCTGGACAGTATACTAAAAAGCAGAAACATCACTTTGCCAACAAAGGTCCAGGTAGTCAAGACTACGGTTTTTCCAATAGCAATGTATGGCTATGAGAGTTGCACTATAAGGAAAATTGGGTGCCACAGAATAGACACTTTTGAAGTTATGGTGTTGGAGAAGACTTTTGAGGGTCCCTTGGACAGCAAGGAGATCAAATCAGTCAATAATTAAAGCAATTAATTCAGGCTATTCACTGCAAGGTCCAATACAGAAGCAGAAGCTCAAATACTTTGGCCACATAATGAGAAGACTCATTGGGAAAGACTCTGAGGTTGGAAAAGATGGAAGGCAAAAGGAAAAGGGGACACCAGAGGATGAGATAGATGGATAGATAGTGGCATGAAAGCCACACAATGAACATGAGCTTGGACAGACTTTGAGAGATAGTGGAGGATAGTAGAACCAGATGTGCTATGGTCCATGGGATCGTGAAAAATGGGACACAACTGAACATCAATAATCTGCCATTGTTCCTCTTTGACTCTCACTTTGTTTCTATTTCTGTCTTGGTCTCTTTCGCTGTTTCTTTGCCTGCATCTATCTCTGTTTCTGTCTCTGTCTCTGTTCTATCTCTCTGTCATTCTCTCTATTGTCTGCCTGTCTCTATGTGTTTCTGTCTATCTCTTGGTCTGCCTATCTGCCTGCCTTATGTATGGGTCTTTTTCTGTTTCTTTTCTTCCTCAATTAGGCATCTGTCGCCTGTTCTCACACCAAAATTCTCTGATCCTGTAGCCCTTTCCCTTCAGAACCCAGAAGTCAGGGAACCCAGCCTCCATCTCTCTTTTTGATTTTTATGAACAGGCAGAAGGCAGATATTCCCAAATAGAGATCCCTGGGGATTAGGATAACACCATAGGTGTCCTAGGACTCTATGTTTAGGGAGTTTTCTGAGGCTCTTAGAGGGTATCTACACCTCTGTGCCCCCTACCTTCCGTCTACACAGATTCTCAATACCCATCAACCAATGTCTAGCACCCCAAGTGGCAACACAAAGTAACTTCAGCTCCTCTTCTCTCCCTGTTCCGTGGTGACATACTCTTTCTCCCTGAGTTCCAGGAATTGACTTTTCATTAGCCCTTTCATCCAATACATTTTTAGTGTCTCTTCTTCCCAGAATCTCTCTTCTCTTCCCCTCCCCTGACTCACTCTTTTCCCAACATCCTTCCCCCTTAGATCCTTCCTACTAGCTGCTACTTTCTTGCCTGTCCTTAGTTTTGCAAAAGAGATTGGGACCCAGTTTGAAGCCAGAGAACTTGACTTCAATCCCAGCTTTGCCATTTAAAAGTTTTATAACTTAAGGTGATTCACTTTCCCCCTCTGAGTCTCATTCTCTCCTCTGTAAAATGAGTATAATAATTCATCAAAAATGTCTCAGTATTTTTGTGAAGAAAGTGTGCTAGAAATGGGTGCAATCACCTGTGTGACATTCAGCAGGCCACTTACTTTTTCTGTGACTCATTTTCCTCATCTGTAAAATGGCAACATTCGACTAGATGATTGCAGGGTCTCTCCCCTAGTACTATATCCTACATCTCTAAATCCCATTCCTCTTTCTCATGACAGTCCTTCAAGTCAACCCTCATGCCCCTTCTACATCTTCTGTCTTCCAGGCTAAACATCTCCAATTCAGCTGATCCTCTTACAAGATGGTCATCCTAACTTTCTGGGCACCCCCCAGTTTGTCTCTTTTCCTTCCTAAAATGGGGATCCCAGAAATAAGCAAAATATTCCAGACATAATACCCCACTGGAACCTGCCTTACAGAATCAGTGCTCCTAGATCTATGCTTGTTCTGGTCACATTACCAAAACTCAGACCCACATGAGATGGAGAGAAACCATGGTCTTGTATGTGTATGGAGGGAGGGAGGGCTGCCACCTACAGGGATTGGATGTAGTGGAGCCTGCTGGGTTCTGGAGAGACTATTGTTAAATTCTCAGTGTGAACATTTACACCTCAGAAATGAGCAACTTCTACAAATTTGGGCTTTATATAGTATTTTGTTAATTCTCTAGGCTTAAGAAAGTAATAAAGAAAATGTTAATAACTAAAGTTAAAAGTGTATCATTCATACTTCTTTCCCTTCAGAGAGCTCATTGTGAAACATTTACCAGCACACCATTGCATGGAAAGAACACATTAAATTCCTGCATTTTTTCAAACAAATGCTCTTCCTCCTTGCTCTCCTCTATTTAACAACTTCAGATCCTTCTCAGAGTCTGTCAGTCAGCCAACATGCATTTATTAAGCACCTGCTATGTGCCAGGCATGGGGTATTTGAGGAAGACGAACACCTCTGGTGTGAGGACTTGTCAAGCCCTTTTCAGGGCTGCTCATCTGTCTTTGGTGTCCAACTGATTCACCCAATTCTCACCTGTGACTCCAAGAAGATGAAGAATGCAGTGGTCACACCCTGGTAAACTGCCTTGGCAGATGACTAAACCAGGTTGATGGTAACCTACAGGTCTCAAACCCGTTGGTGGGTTAAGAGGATGTCTACTCCAGCATGTGAATACTTCCCCCAAGTGGAATGGACAGATGAAAATAATTTGTCCAACCAGCCATGAAGGCACCTGAAACAGCTGTTATGGAGTGCTTAGAGCTTAGTAAGACACTGAAGACACAAGGTCATCTCTTGCATCCCAAGCCATCACCAGTCCTCTTAACTGTCTTGCTACTGGACTTCGATGACTGTGAAAGAAAGACAACTTTGTGCAACCCTGCCTCACTCAAATCCAATTTGTGTGCAAGTCAGCACATCAGCCAGGATCCACCATTTTACCACAACATTGTGATGTCATTGGTCCTCTTCGGAAATTGAAAGATGGACAGCTATGTGCCAGGCACTCTGCTGAGTGCCAGTGCTACTCAGGCCCTTCCCCACTACCACCACCATCTCCAAGCAGGCTTCCCCAATTCCTCTCCCCTCCACCCAGAGATATCTCTTTTCTCTAAGCTACTGTAGCCTGGACTATCTGTTGACCATTTAAACTTTTTGAGTCATAGATTTGGAGGTCTTCAAATATGATCTAGTGTAACCACCCCATTACTACAGATTACTGCAAACTTAAGCCCAGACAAGAGAAGCGACCTTCCTAAAATCACATAGATAATAATGAAGAGATTCAGGGTTTAAACTTGGATCCTCTGACCAGATCAAGTCCTCTTTCCATTACACTACAGGGATCCCACATGCCTGATATTGTTATTTATCTAGTCTCCTGTGTGTGTCTCCTCTCCTTAGCCAGGGATGAGAGACCTTGAAGGGCAGGGCTTCTGGTTTTTAGACTCCAATCCTCAGTAACCAGCACACCATATCTAGAATAAGTGAAATGGGGTGGGGGTGGGACTGCTAGAGTTGGTGAGGAGGTCATCTAGTTCAACCCCTACCTTTTACAGATGAAGATACTGAGTCCCCAAAAGGAAAAGTGACTTGCCCAAAGTCACACAGACATTAATAATAGCTCATAATTCTACTGCAATAATAATAACAATAATTCTATTGCACCTTATGTTTGGAATTTATTTTTGTCTCAGACTCTGATTTAATTGGCCTAAGGAGTTCCCCCTTAAGAAACTCCTTCAAACAACAACGACAACAACAAACACTTTTATATTGCACTTGCTACGTGCCAGGCATTGTGCTAAGCACTTTACAAGTCTTATCTCATTTTGATACTCAGGACTCTGGGAGGTAGGTGCTATTATAATCCCCATTTTACAGATGAGGAGTCTGAGGTAAACAGAGGTTCAGACACTTGCCTGGAGTCACATAGCCAGAAAGTATCTGAGGCAGGATTTGAACCAGTGCGGATCAGATGGGCCACAGTTTAGTCTCAGAGAGTGATAAGGGGCCCTGAAGGAGTTAAATAGCCAGTATGTGTCACAGACAGCAGCTAAACTCTGTTCTTCCTGACTCTGAGGTCAGTCACTACCCATGACACAATATTGCCTCTCGGATTTTAAGTTTTAAGAGTCACTTTCCTCACCACCACCTTTAGAGATGAGTAGCACAAATGTTTTTATCACCATTTTATAGATGAGGAAACTGAGGCTGAGAAATTCAATGGGATTTGTCCATAGTCATGTGGTGATCAAGAAACAGAGCTAGGGGGGCAGCTAGGTGGCCCAGTGGATAAAGCACCGGCCCTGAAGTCAGGAGGACCTGAGTTCAAATCCGGCCTCAGACCAAACACTTGACACTTACTAGCTGTGTGACCCTGGGCAGCTCACTTAACCCCAATTGCCTAAAAAGGAAAAAAAAATACAAAAAAAAAAAAGAAAGAAACAGAGCCAGGAGTGAAATCCAGGTCTTTTGATTCTCAGTCTTTTTCTCTACTCCACACTGACTCACAACACTAAAAGGTAAGGGAGAAACAGGTGGAGAAGTAGGATCCATCCCCCTCTAACTGTCCCCTTCTGCTCCTCCAGTATAAAACTAGGAGTCCCCCAGTGACTGGTCCTCAGGATTCCCAGGCTGATCCAACCCCCCTCTAGTTTTCCTTTCTACCCTGCTCCAGAGCTCAAGAAGGAAGGAGGCTCCTAGAAATGAGAAGGCTGGCCGGGGGCCTGTGGCAGTAGTTAGAGCACTATTACTGCTGCTACTACTACCACCACCACTACTACTACCACCACCACCACCACTACCACAACTACCAACCACTACCACCACCACAACCAGAACTACTACCACCACTGCTACTACCACCACCAACACTACTACTACTACCACCACCACCACTACTACTATCACTACTACCACTACCACCACTACTACTATCACTACCACCACTACTACTACTACCACCACCACCACTACTACTATCACACTACTACACTACCACTACTACTATCACTACCACCACTACTACTACCACCACCACCACTACTACTACCACCACCACCACTACCACCACTACTACTATCACTACCACCACTACTACTATCACTACTACCACTACCACCACTACTACTATCACTACCACCACTACTACTACTACCACCACCACCACTACTACTATCACTACCACCACTACTACTACTACCACCACCACCACTACTACTACCACTACCACCACTATCACCATCACCACTATTACCACCACTACCACAACTACCAACCACTACCACCACCACAACCAGAACTACTACCACCACTACTACTACCACTACCACCACTACTACCACTACCACCACTACTACTACTACCACCACCACCACTACTACTATCACTACTACCACTACCACCACTACTACTATCACTACCACCACTACTACTACTACCACCACCACCACTACTACTATCACTACCACCACTATTACCACTACTACTACAACTACTGCTAACTAACATTTATGTAGCACCTATGATGTGCCGATTCTGATAAGTGCCATCTCATCTGAGCCTCATAACAACCCTGTGAGATAGGTGCTGTTATTACGCCCATTTTACAGATGAGGAAACTGAGGCTCAGGGAGCACAAGTGACCTGCCCAGGATCATAGAACTAGTAAGTGTCTGAGGCTGGATTTGAACTCAGGTCTTCCTGCCTCCAGGTCTGGCTCTATCTACTCTGTCACCTAGCTGCCAGCCAGATTTGGAGTGTGAGGACCTGGATCTCTCCCAAACTTTGGGACCCTCGGTCACTCTCTGGGCCTCAATACCCTCAATACCCTAATGAAAGGGTTAAGTGATGTATAAGGTCCCTTCCAGCTTTAAATCCTCTATCTTGAGTTGTCTGCTGCTTTCCCCACAAATGCACAAGGGGCATGTGCTTGAGTGGCCAATTTTTTTTTCTTCTTTATTAAATTAAATATTATTCCTTAATTAACAAACATATCTTTTTTCTCCTTCCTGCCTCCCCTCCTGGGGAGAGGGGAAGAAATAGAAAAACAAAACCTTTGTAACAAATATGCATAGTTAAGGCCATCAAATCCCCACATTGGCTGTGTCCAGAAATGTATGTCTCATTCAGGATTCGTTCCGAATCCTGAGTCCATCATCTCTCACTGTCCAGTCAAGAGGAGGGTAGCAGGCTTAATCATCAGTCCTCTGGAATAGTCATCGGTCATTACTTTGATCAGAGTTCTTAGGTCTTTCCAAGTTTATCAGCTTTTTGTTGTTATAGTAGAAATTGTTCTCCTGGTTCTGCTCACTTCACTCTGCATCAATTCATACAGATCTTCCCAGCTTTCTCCAAAATTGTCCATTTCATCATTTCTCACAGCACATATCCCGTTACATTCACGTACCATACTGGCAAGTCACCATTGACATGCCTGTGCATGACTGTGAAGGTGTATGCACAGGATGGCTGTAGCAGCAGAGGGAGGCAGCTGGTGGCTGGTAAATAATTCATCAGGACAGCTGATAGTGCCTCCCCAGGCCCGCCAGCCTGCTCTGGCTCAGGCCCCCCTCTCCCTTCCCTTCCCTCCCTACTTCCTTCCGCCCAAACCAGCCTGACCAGCTCTCCTGGTGCCCGCAGCAGCCCCCCCGGCCCCCACCTGTCGTCCCAACCTCTCCGGGCACCTGCTGCCCAGTTGGGCAGCCCAGCCCCACAAGCAAGATGGCCTTACAGAGCCAGGGTTTGCCCCCCAGTGGGTGGACCCCAGCAAATCCAATGTAAGTACCAGGGCTTGGGAGAGGGCACGGGAGTAGAGCAGCTCAAAGGTGTAGCTTACCTAGGCTGCACTGAACAGTTGGAGGGGGTGTGTTGTAGAAAGAACACTGGATTGGAAGTCAGAGGATGTGAATTTAAATTCCAGATTGACCACTGACTCAATGTGTGACCTTGGGCAAGTCACTCAACCCTGATGAACCCTTGTTCTCTCATCTGTAAAATGAGGGGCTAGGCTAGATAATTTTTCAAATCCCTTTGGCTCCAAATCTTGTGACCCCACCTAGCAAGGGGGCAGTTCCTCAGGCAAGCACCTGCCCCCTGGTGGAGGTCACAATCAGTCCCAGGCTCTGGGGCCCTGACAGAAGCAGGAATATTACAGCCCTGAGCTGCCATTTTAAAGGAGACAAATTCTGCAAACCCCGAGCACTCATTTGTCCCTGGGAAAAAGAGAGGACTCTCAGGCCCTCATTCTCCATGCCCTCCCCCTTTCTGGACTCTGATACAGACTATCCAGGAGTCACATGGGTCTTGGGGGCAAAGTCTGGGCTGGAGGTGGGAATGTAGCCCAGCATTGCAGGATAAGACCCTTTGAGAAGAGAGGTCAGTGAGGTGGGAGGGGAAACCCCCAGCCAGGGCCACTGGATTTCATGGGACTCCAAAGAGACCAGGAGCTAAACAGAAGTGTAGGAGGCATGAAAAACAGTATAGCAGGAAGAACCCTGAATTTTGGAGGGACAGAAACTATATTTGACTCTACACTTACTGGGTGTATGACAGGGGGCAAGTCATTACTTGTCTCTGGGCCTCTGTTTCCCCATTTATAAAAAGATGATCTTTACTCTTCATTGAAGCATTAAATCCTAGGAACTCTGAGTTACCCATGGGTTCATAGGGCCCCCCTGGTCCTCTTCTCCCCTCCCTTGACCCCTCAGGGGATACAGGGGAGGGCAAAGGGCCAGAGAGCTCCAGAGAGGCCTCCTCCAAGCCTGTCGAACCCCTGGATCTGCTACCTGCATTATTCACCATCTAGAAACTTAGTCGCTAAGCAACAGGGAACCTGATCACCCCAGCAGGGAACTGGCAGGGGTGATCAAGTCCCCAGGGGGAGTCTTATTGGGAGGGAGAGGGCCCCCCACTTGGACCTACCTAAAAGGAAAGGCAGCTCTTCTGAGAAGACCCACCCCCTTCTGCCTCAGGCGGCCCTACCCCCATATAACCTGGAGGAATGCAGCTAGGGACCCCATCCTGAGAAACAGTTTGATCTGATGGAAAGAACACCTGATTAGAGTCAAAAGACCTGGGTGTGGATTCCAGTTCTGCTCTTTACTGTTTGTGTGGCTTTGAGCAAGCCTCTTTTTTTAGGGGGCCTCATTTTCCCTCCTTGTAAAATGGGTGAGGTGAGTTGAACTAGGTTATCTAGAGCAAAGATTTTTGGCTTTTTTGTGTGTGTCTTGGACTCAACTTTTGGCAGCCTGATCCAGTCTAGGGACCCCTTTCTCAAAACAATGTTTTTAAATGCATAAGATAAATTGCATAGAATTACAAATAAAATCAATTTATTTCAATATATGAAATAAAGACATAATTTTCCCCTTCCAAGTTCCCCCCCTGAAATTTTTCTATGGCCCATCAACCCCAGATTATGAACCCCTGATCTAGAAGGCCTTTCCAGCTCCAAACTCCAAACACCCCCAAGGTGCCACCCTTCCTAAGGGAGCCAGGCAAAGACCCAGTGTCCTTTGTCCTCCAGAGCTCACTGGAAGGGATTCAGTCAGTGACTCTAGCATCCCTATGGACTATCCCCTGGAAGATCTAGCCGAGTTCTCAATCATGAAAATGAGTATGTATGCTGGAAGAATATGGGATTTTGAATCAAAAGGACCTGAGCTCAAATTCTGACTATTACTAACTGAATGACCTTGATCAAGTTGCTTAGCCTCAGTTTCCCCAACTATAAACTTGAGTGTTTGAATTAGATGACTTCTAAAGCCCCTTCCAGCTCTAAATCCTAGATGCCATAGGCTATGGACATTCCTAGAGAGAAGGGAATCCAGTCTCATCCCACCCTCCCCCACCCGCCAGGGTCAGAATCTACCCTGAAACCTTTAGCTTATAGGGGTAGGGGAACAAGCCATCTCTCCAAGTTGTCATGGTAACAGCAGAGATTTGGTTCCCTTGAGAGGAGGCAAGGGGATGTGTACAAATCCGAAAGCTTATCCTGTAAAAGCCAGTCAGTATAGAGGGGTAGCCCTCAGTGTCTACACTCCAGGAAGCAAACAGGTTGATATTACAAAGGCAATGGGGGTAGGGGGTAGGGCTCCTTAACCTTTAGGACTCTGAGCATCATGCCAGTGGTGTTCCTAAGACCCAAGAGTCCCGTAGAGTAGAAAGATCACTGTCCTTAAGATCAAAAGATTTTGAAGCCCTGGATTTATGTATTTACTGGCTGTGTTACCTTGGTGGATTCACCTCCTGACCTCAGTTTCTTTATCTGTGAAATTAGAGGATTGGACTAAATTATCTCTAAAGCTTTTTCCAATTCCAGTATTCTCCAATCAGAGGGTTATAGCCAGAATGAGCCTTGGAGTGATCCAACACACTTTCATCTGAGCACCTACTGGGTGCTGGGTGCTGTGTTGGGCACCAAGATGAAAAACAGTCCCTGACCTCAGAGAGCTTGCTTACATTCTCCTAGAGCGGTTCAACAAGTAAATCAGTCAGTCAGTCAGGCAACATTTATGAAGCCCTACTATGTGCCAGGCACTCTGTTAAGAGCTTGGGATACAAAGAGAGGCAAAAGGCAGTCCCTGCCTTCAAGGAGCTCATAGTCTAATGGGGGAGACCGCACACTGGCTATGTACAGATAAGCTCTCTACTGAATAAATTAGAAATAATAAGCAGAGGAAAGGCACTAGCACAAAGGGAATCTGGAAAGCTGTCCCGTAGAAGGTGAGATGTTAACTGGAAGTAAAAAAGAGAAGTGTGCACACGTTGAGAAGGAAGGATCCTAGGGACCCAGATTAAGAGATGGAAGGATTGGAGCAGGTAGGTGGTGCAGTGGATAGAGTACCGGTCCTGAAGTCAGGAGGACCTGAGTTCAAATCTGGACTCAGACCAAACACTTGACACTTACTAGCTGTGTGACGCTGGGTAAGTCACTTAACCCCAATTGCCTAAAAAAAAAAAAAAAGAGGGAGAGATAGAAGGGACCTCAGGGGTAATCTAATCCAAAAAATGTCAAAAAATGGAAACTGGGACCACTGAATGGTAGCATATAAGGATCCTTGAAGGTTGCATATTTACTTAGAAAACCAAGAATTAACATTATCTATGTTGTATTATATTTTTCTTTATTTTGTTCAGTATTTCCCAATTATATTTTAATCTGATTTGGCCAACTCTCAGAAGTGTTATGGGCCCTGTCTGGTCCAACCTCCTCTTTTTTTTTTTTAAATGAGGGACCTGAAGCCCAGAGAGGTTAAGGGACTTATCCAGCAAAACAGAGGGTAGTAAGTAAGAAAATCAGGATTCGAACAAAGGTCCTCTTATATCATATCCAGTGTTTTGTCCACTGTACCCCATTTCCTCACACCCAACAGAAACTGTACTGCTTGACTTTTGGGTTTCCCCCATAGGAGGTGGGTCATGAGCTGAGCCTTGAAGGAAAGTTGAGATTTTAAAAGATGATGTTAAAGAGGAAATGTCTTTCAGGCATTTGGGACAGGCTGAGCAGTGGCCCCAAGGATGGAGGGAGAATATCATGTAACAGGAATGCTCATTAAGCCAGTTTGGCTAAAACTTAAAGTGAATGAAAGGCAGTAATTAGAAATAAGCCTGGAAATGTAATCTGGGGGGGAAATTGTAAAAGGCTTTAAATGTCAGACTAAAAAGTTTGTATTTTATCTTAGAGGCAATAGGGAGCCACTGAAGAGCCTGGAAAAGAGAAATGTCCTGGTCAGATTTGAGCCTCAGTATATTATAACAATAATAATAATAACAAGCTTTTATATAGTGCTTTAAGGTTTTCAAAGTGCTTTAGAAATATTATCTCATTTGATCCTCAAAACAACCTTGGGAATCAGGTGCTATTATTATACTCATTTACAGACGAGGTTGTGATTTGCCTGGAGTCACAGAGCTAGTAAGTATCTGAGACTGGATTTGAACTCAGAACTTCCTAACTCCCAGTTCTGTGTGATATCCACTATGGCACATAACTAATGGTTGTTCTGTTGCTGTGGACATACTGGAAGCCACAAGTCCAATTAGGAGGCTGGTGCAATAGCCTAGATGAAAAGTGATGAAGGCCTGAACTAGTCATGGAAGTGGAAAGATGTTGACAGATATGAGAGAAGTTGTAGAAGTAGAAACAAGACTTGGCAACTAATTGTTGAAGGAGGATGAGGCAGGAAGGAAGAGTCAGGGATGCTACCGAAGTTATGAATCTGAATGACTTGAGGGAGGTGGTACCCTCAGTGGAAATAGGGAAGGAGGCAGGCTTAGGGGGAAGAGAATGAGTTTCTTTTGTGTTTTTGTATATGTCTGAAATGCCTGTGGGACATCTAGGCGGAGGTGTCCTTCAGGCAGTTGGTATGTGAGACTGAAGCTTAGATGAGAGACTAACGCTGGATATATGGAACTGGGAGTCACCAGTATAGAGTTAACTGAACCCATGGGAGGTGATGGAATCACTGAGAGAGAGGGGATAGAGAGAGAAAGAGTAGGACCCAGGACAGATCGTTGAAGGACATCAATGGTTAGGGATGGGATATGGATGATGACACAGGCAGAGGAAATGGAGAAGAAATCAAACAACCATGCTTGTTTTATTTTATTAATGTTTTATTGTTCCTTAAAAAAAAAAGACAAGGCAGTTAGGTGGCACAGTGCGCTGGGGTCAGGAGGACCTGAGTTCAAATCTGGCCTTAGACACTTACTAGCTGTTTGACCCTGGGCAAGTCACTTAACCCTGATTGCCTCCAAGAAAATAAAAATTTTTTAA